CTGGTAGGAGGTGAGGAGGCCGCGCAGCAGCCTGAGGTTGAACCCGAAACGTACTGCATTCGCCCAGAGCACATCATGTCGCACGTGCTCGTAGAACTTGCTGATGTCAAGGAAGAGGCTCGCGGCCTCGAACTGCTGGTTCGCCATCGCGAACCCCGCAAAACAGTTGTGCAGCCACCCAGCCCGCTCACAGTCCCGCCCGTCACGTCCCCAGAAAAAGGGGAAGTCGTGGTCAGCCTCCCAGCGGGCGCAGCAAGGCTGGCGGAGGCGCGACCACAGCCGCAGGACCAGCGGCAGCAACGCAATGGGCCTTACCCCTCCATCTGCCTTCGGGATGAACACCATCAGGGAGACCTGCCCGATGATCGATGCAGGGGCGTCGTCGTGGGCCGCCAGGATGTCCAGGATGCGCTGCTGCAGCGCCACGGGCAGCAGGAGGATCTGCCGAGGGTGCAGAGAGTCGCACCCGAGCCCCACCGAGGGGCTGTAGCGCTTACAGGCCGCCTGGAGCTGCTCCAGCGAGATGGGTGGCAGCCGCCACTCGCCAACGTCCCAGCTGCTGGCCCCAGCGCCCAGGGCAAAGCCGTCCTGGAGCCACAGCTTCTGCCAGACACTCGTGAGCTCGCCGATCGCTGCCATCCCAACGAGCCTCCTGCCAGAGTCAGCGTCCCTGACCGTCGGCGGAGGCGTCGCCTTCGAGAAGCGGTGGGCCAGACGACCGCCCTTCTCAACCGCTGTCTGCGCCCAGTTGCGCCAGGCCTGGGCGCTCTCAGCCGCGTCGCGGCGCTGCGATGCTCCGAGTAGCCCTTGGAGGTCCCGAACGGCATCAGGGCTGCCGTGGACGCCCGCCTGAAACACCAGGTCGCCCAGTCGATCAGGAGCTGCGCCAGGAAGAGCTCCACCGTCCGAGTCGGCAGCCTCCTGCACCGCCTCCAGCAAGAGCTGCGCTCTGAGCACGGCCTGGTGCCCGTACCAGTCTGCATGCCGAGGGTGCCAGCGGCCAGTCCTCTCAGCGCGCAGCCGCTGGAGGGCAACGTCCAGGCAGCTCCGCAAGCGGTGCGTGAGGAGGCTGAACCTGAACCTGGCGTCTCGCTTGACCAAGGCACTGAGGGGCTTGAGGGTCAGCCGCGGCCCCTCTCCTCTGCCGAGATGACGGGCCAAGTCGGCCTGGACGATGCCGTGGATGCCGACCAGGGTGCCTTCTGCCGCCGCAGCCCACTCGCTGAAGGCGTCGGAGAGGTTGGTCGGTGAAGTGCCTGCGTCCCAGGACCACGCGACGCTCCTGGGCGTGACCTGTCCTTTCTTGCCAACCGAGTAGCACACAATCTCCGCGTCCTCGCGCGCCCGAAGGAGCTCAGGAGCAACTTCGGGGAAGCGTGCGGGCCTGGACGGAACCTCCACCAACGCATCTGCCCGAACGTCCTGGAGACGAAGCAGGACAGGGCGATGAGGGTGCAGACCGAAGCCCTCGAGCGTGGTGGCGCAGGAGGCCGTGCAGGCTGCCATCGCCGAGGAAGCCACGAACCAGTCGTAGAGGTGGTCACATCCCTCGGCATGGCAAGTCGCCTCCGAGGGCCCCAGGACATGCCCCCGCACCGCAGCGGGCCACCCCAATTCCTCCAGTGGCTCGGGCTCCATGTTGAAGTCGGCTTGGAGGACCCACGGGATGTCGGCAGAAAAGCCCGTCACCTCCGAGATGGCCGAAAACAAGTCCAGGTTGGTGCCTCGAAGGCCCACAGAGTGCTGAAAGTACCCAGCCAGCACCAGGACCCGAAAGCCCGAGGCAGCGGCGACCTCCACCCCGATGAGGCGGTGGCGCAAGGCCGAGGGCAAAGGGCACGCCGACTCGTCGGCCTGCAAGCCGTCTCGCACCAGAATCGCCACGCCGCCTGAGGTCGCCTGGGGCCCTTGCTTCCCCGTCGGCGCCGCCTCGTGGAGGAAGGCCGCGTAGCCCAGGCCGCGGGCCTGAGCCGCAGCACTGGGCAGGCGCGCACGCTGGAGCCTCGTCTCCTGCAGCGCCACGACGTCAGGCCAGTAGTCGTACGCCTTGAAGAAGGCCTCGAGGGCTTCAATGCTCCTGCTCCAAGCGTTGCCGTTGCAGCCGAACATGACGAGGCCGGCTCTAAGCTGCCGGCCTCCTGCCCTGCCGACCTGCGGCGCCTTGCCGATGACAGCTGCCTCGCGAGCGGCCCGCCCATCAGCGTCAGACACGGGGCCCGCTGTGCTCCTGGTCGCGGGACCCTCCGCCCCCACCAGGACTGGAGGGGGGACCTGGCCCCTCGCTCCAGCGCTCCTCAGCGGCGTCGGCGGGCCGCTCGCCAGAACGGGAGGTGGCCGTCCCTCCCTCCGCGGCGCGCCATCGCAGGGCTGGGGAGGTGGCCGTCCCTCCGCCCCTCCGGTTGCCAGCGGGGGGTGCGCATGCCCATCGCCAACGGGGCCGAGAGCTGCGACGTCGTGGGGCTGAATCCCACCGCTCTCGGCCCCTGACTGGCCGTCGGGGGGCCACCTCGGTGATCCCGACCGCGCCATCTGGCTACCTCGGGCGAGGGTGCTCGGCGCCGCCCGCCGCCTGCGGGGGGCGCGGACGCGCCAGCGGCCGTCACAGCGCCTCCTCCACCTGTCCCAACAGCTGGGCCCGCGCACATCCCGAGGGGATGGCGTCTCGCTGGCCCCCACATCGAGGCCGACTGTGGAAGCTGACCACTCCCACGCTCCAGCATCACCCACGGCGCGGCCCGTACCCAGCAGCAGGAGCAACGACAGCAGCCGCAGCCAACAAGGGGTCGCCGTCCGTGAAGGCCGCCCCTTGCTCGGCGAGGGCCTTGGTGAGGCTGGGCTCCACCTGAGGCCACGCGCCCAGGGTAGCCCCGTGTTGGCCACGGGCCGCTGCTGGGCCGTAGGGTCCGTCCGCTGGCCTGACCCGCGCGGCTGGCGGCCCAGCCGCGGTCGGCCCTGCCAGCGGGGCGGCCGCGGGAGGGGCGGCCGCAGGCCCACCTGGGGCCACGATGTCGAGCGGCATGTCGTCATCCTCAGTCGCGAGGCCGTCCTCACCGACGCTGTCGCCCCAACGCTTCCTGACCGAGCTGCTTCGGGGCCTGAGCACGTCAGCGACCGCCTCCTTCTGCGTGTTGAGAATCTCGACGATCTCCGAAAACCTGGGCGGCAGGTCGGCGCCGTGCTGCTTGAGGAGATCCGAAAGGGCGCCAACCTGAGTGAGCAACCCCTGGACAGCGTCCCCAAGCGGGCTCGGCACGCCTCCGACAGCTGCGTTGGCCCGCTGGATCGCCTGCTGAGTGACCTTGGCCCTGGTCTCTTCCAGCTCTGCAATCTGCCCAGTGACTTCATCAACCCCCAACTCGGCTGCCGATAGCTGCTCCTGCTTCTCCGCGATGAGCTCGCGCAGCTCGGGCGCCTGCAGCTGGAGCTTCTCCTTCCTGGTACGCGCCGTGGCCAACTGGCGCTCGACCTTCTGGATGGCGTTGGCTTCAATGTGGAGCACAGAGTGAGGCGGGCGCTCCGTCCGCTGGGCCTCCTGGACGGACCGCTCCAGGGCGGCGACCTGGTCCTTGCCCTGCTGGAGGGCGTTCTCCGCCTCACGCTGGAAGTCCACTGAGAGCCCGAGCGCCGAAGCCCCCTGGAGCGTGGCGACGCGCTCCCTGGCCGCATCGAGCTGCGCCTGCAGCTCCTCGATCTGCGTCTTGGCCTCTCCCCAAGGCCGCGCGCGCCGCGCCCTGCTGTTGGGGGCGCTGCTGGGCGCGGTGCTCCCCGAGAGGGCCCGCTGGGAGGCCGAGCGCCTCGCAGCGCGCTGCTCAGCCCTTCCCCTGGGCTGCTGCACGAACCCGTCTGCGTCTGCCCGCGGGGGGGGCTTGTCAGAGCGATACTCCTTCGTCCATGGGGGAGCACTGGTGCCGCACGCCTTGCACGTCCACCGCTTGTCACACCAGTTCCAAGCACTGCAGCCACGCTTAGCACACAACCAGTACGCCCGCCTGGCCAGCCCCGAGGCAACCTCCGACATGGCGGCTCACCCAGGGAAGACTGACAGCTGCGCGGCCGATACACTCGGCCCTGCAGGAACGAAGAAGAACAAAATTGGCGAAGCTGCTGGCTCGCGGCGGGGCGCCCCTCGCGCTCAAGAACGCCCGACGGACTCGCGGTCGTCGGGTGCGCCATGGCCTTGAGCCAAAATGGCTACGGTCCGTACTCCTGTGTGGTCTGCCGTGCTCCGGTGGTCTGCCGTGCTCCTTTGGGGTCTGCCTTGCTACTGTGGGGTCTGCCGTGCTCCTGTGTGGTCTGCCGTGCTCCTGTGGTTTGCCTTGCTCCTGTGTGGTCTGCCGTGCTCCTTTTGGGTCTGCTCTGCCGTGCTCCTGTGGGGTCTGCCGTGCTCCTGTGGGGTCTGCCGTGCTCTGGTGGGGTCTGCCGTGCTCTTGTGTGGTCTGCCGTGCTCCTTTGTGGTCTGCCGTGCTCCTGTGTGGTCTGCCGTGCTCCTGTGTGGCCTGCCGTGCTCTTGTGTGGTCTGCCGTGCTCCTGTTGGTCTGCCGTGCTCTTCTGTGGTCTGCCGTGCTCCTATGGGGTCTGCCGTTGTTCGGCCGTCTTGAGGGCACTCTTAGGGCATAGTCTGCCGTGCTCCTCGTCTTGGTCTGCCGTGCTCCTCGTCTTGGTCATCCTTTCCGTCGTCTTGAGGGCGCTCTTGGTGCCTGGTCTGCCGTGCTCCTCGTCTTGGTCTGCCGTGCTCCTCTCGGTTCCTAAGCCTGGTCTGCCGTGCTCCTGTGGGGAGCACGGCAGACCACAGGAGCACGGCAGACCACACAGGAGCACGGTCCGTAGCCATTTTGGCTCAAGGCCATGGCGCACCCGACGACCGCGAGTCCGTCGGGCTTTCTTGAGCGCGAGGGGCGCCCCGCCACGAGCCAGAAGCTTCGCCTGGTTTGTTCTCCTTCGTGCCTGCAGGGCCGAGTGTATCGGCCGAGCAGCTGTCAGTCTTCCCTCGGTGAGCCGCCATGTCGGAGGTTGCCTCGGGGCTGGCTAGGCGGGCGTACTGGTTGTGTGCTAAGCGTGGCTGCAACGCTTGGAACTGGTGTGACAAGCGGTGGACGTGCAAGGCGTGTGGCACCAGTGCTCCCCCATGGACGAAGGAGTACCGCTCCGACAAGCCCCCCCCGCGGGTGGACGCAGACGGGTTCGTGCAGCAGCCCAGGGGTAGGGCTGAGCAGCGCGCTGCGAGGCGCTCGGCCTCCCAGCGGGCCCTCTCGGGGAGCACCGCGCCCAGCAGCGCCCCCAACAGCAGGGCACGGCGAGCGCGGCCTTGGGGAGAGGCCAAGACCCAGATCGAGGAGCTGCAGGCGCAGCTCGCGGCGGCCAGGGAGCGCGTCGACACGCTCCAGGGGGCCTCGGCGCTCGGGCTCTCAGTGGACTTCCAGCGTGAGGCGGAGAGCGCCCTCCAGCAGGGCAAGGACCAGGTCGCCGCCCTGGAGCGGTCCGTCCAGGAGGCCCAGCGGACGGAGCGCCCGCCTCACTCGGTGCTCCACATTGAGGCCAACGCCATCCAGAAGGTCGAGCGCCAGCTGGCCTCGGCACGTACCAAGAAGGAGAAGCTCCAGCTGCAGGCGTCCGAGCTGCGAGAGCTCATCGCGGAGAAGCAGGAGCAGCTGTCGGCAGCCGAGTTGGGGGTTGACGAAGTCACTGGGCAGATTGCTGAGCTGGAAGAGACCAGGGCCAAGGTCACGCAGCAGGCGATCCAGCGGGCCAACGCAGCTGTCGGAGGCGCGCCGAGCCCGCTTGGGGACGCCGTCCAGGGGTTGCTCACTCAAGTCGGCGCCCTTTCGGATCTCCTCAAGCAGCACGGAGCCGATCTGCCACCCAGGTTTTCGGAGATCGTCGAGATTCTCAACACGCAGAAGGAGGCGGTCGCTGACGTGCTCAGGCCCCGCAGCAGCTCGGCCAGGAAGCGTTGGGGCGACAGCGTCGGTGACGACGGCCTCGCGACTGAAGATGACGACATGCCGATCGACATCGTGGCCTCAGGCGGGCCTGCGGCCGCCCCCCCCGCTGCCGCCCCGCTGGCAGGGCCGACCGCGGCTGGGCCGCCCGCCACGCGGGCCAGGCCAGCGGACGGGCCCTACGGCCCTGCAGCGGCCCGCGGCCAACACGGGGCGACCCTGGGCGCGTGGCCTCAGGTGGAGCCCTGCCTCGCCAAGGCCCTCGCCGAGCAAGGGGCGGCCCTCTCGGACGGCGACCCCTTGGTGGCTGCGGCTGCTGTCGTTGCTCCTGCTGCTGGGTACGGGCCGCGCCGTGGGTGATGCTGGAGCGTGGGAGTGGTCAGCTTCCACAGTCGGCCTCGACGTCGGGGACAGCGGGACGCCTCCCCCTCGGGATGTGCGCGGGCCCAGCTGCTGGGACAGGTGGAGGAGGCGCTGTGACGGCCGCTGGCGCGTCCGCGCCCCCCGCAGGCGGCGGGCGGCGCCGAACGCCCTCGCCCGAGGTAGCCAGCTGGCGCGGTCGGGATCACCGAGGTGGCCCCCCGACGGCCAGTCAGGGGTCGAGAGCGGTGGGATTCAGCCCCACGTCGTCGCAGCTCTCGGCCCCGTTGGTGATGGGCAGGCGCACCCCCCGCTGGCAACCGGAGGGGCGGAGGGACGGCCCCCTCCTCAGCCCTCCGATGGCGCGCGGCGGAGGGAGCGACGGCCACCTCCCGTTCTGGCGAGCGGCCCGCCGACGCCGATGAGGAGCGCTGGAGCGAGGGGCCAGGGCCCCCCTCCAGTCCTGGTGGGGGCGGAGGGTCCCGCGACCAGGGGCGCAGCGGGCCCCGTGTCTGACGCGGGTGGGCGGGCCGCTCGCGAGGCAGCCGTCATCGGCAAGGCGCAGCTGGTCGGCAGGGCAGGAGGCCAGCAGCTTCGAGCTGGCCTAGTCATGTTCGGCTGCAATGGCAACGCTTGGAGCAGGAGCATTGAAGCCCTCGAGGCCTTCTTCAAGGCGTACGACTACTGGCCCGACGTGGTGGCGCTGCAGGAGACGAGGCTCCCGCATGAGCGCCTGCCCAGTGCTGCGGCTCAGGCCCGCGGCCTGGGTACGCGGCCTTCCTCCACGAGGCGGCGCCGACGGAGAAGCAAGGGCCCCAGGCGACCTCAGGCGGCGTGGCGATTCTGGTGCGAGACGGCTTGCAGGCCGACGAGTCTGCGTACCCTTTGCCCTCGGCCTTGCGACACCGCCTCATCGGGGTGGAGGTCGCCGCCGCCTCGGGCCTTCGGGTCCTGGTGCTTGCTGGGTACTTTCAGCACTCTGTGGGCCCTCGAGGCACCAACCTGGACTTGTTTTCGGCCATCTCGGAGGTGACGGGCTCTTCTGCCGACATCCCGTGGGTCCTCCAAGCTGACTTCAACATGGAGCCCGAGCCGCTGGAGGAGTTGGGGTGGCCCGCTGCGGTGCGGGGGCATGTCCTGGGACCCTCGGAGGCGACGTGCCATGCCGAGGGATGTGACCACCTCTACGACTGGTTCGTGGCTTCCGCGGCGTTGGCAGCCTGCACGGCCTCCTGCGCCACCACGCTCGAGGGCTTCGGTCTGCACCCTCATCGCCCTGTTCTGCTTCGTCTCCAGGACGTTCGGGCAGATGCGTTGGTGGAGGTTCCGTCCAGGCCCGCACGCTTCCCCGAAGTTGCCCCCGAGCTCCTTCGGGCACACGAGGACGCGGAGGTTGTCTGCTACTCGGTTGGCAAGAAAGGACAGGTCACGCCCAGGAGCGTCGCGTGGTCCTGGGACACAGGCACTTCACCGACCAACCTCTCCGTCGCCTTCAGCGAGTGGGCGGCGGCGGCTGAAGGCACCCTGGTCGGCATCCACGGCATCGTCCAGGCAGACTTGGCCCGTCATCTCGGCCGAGGAGAGGGGCCGCGGCTGACCCTCAAGCCCCTCAGTGCCTTGGTCAGGCGGGATGCCAGGTCCAGGTTCAGCCTCCTCACGCACCGCCTGAGGAGCTGCCTGGACGTGGCCCTCCAGCGGCTGCGCGCCGAGAGGACTGGCCGCTGGCACCCTCGGCATGCAGACTGGTACGGGCACCAGGCCGGGCTCAGGGCGCAGCTCCTGCTGGAAGCGGTGCAGGAGGCTGCCGACTCGGTCGGTGGGGCTCTTCCTGGCGCAGCTCCTGATCGACTTGGCGACCTGGTGTTTCAGGCGGGCGTCCACGGCAGCCCTGACGCCGTTCGGGACCTCCAAGGGCTGCTCGGTGCATCGCAGCGCCGCGATGCGGCTCAGAGCGCCCAGGCCTGGCGCAACTGGGCACAGACAGCGGTCGAGAAGGGCGGTCGTCTGGCCCACCGCTTCTCGAAGGCGACGCCCCCGCCGACGGTCAGGGACGCTGACTCTGGCAGGAGGCTCGTTGGGATGGCAGCGATCGGCGAGCTCACGAGTGTCTGGCAGAAGCTGTGGCTCCAGGACGGGTTTGCCCTGGGCGCTGGGGCCAGCAGCTGGGACGTTGGCGAGTGGCGGCTGCCACCCATCTCGCTGGAGCAGCTCCAGGCGGCCTGCAAGCGCTACAGCCCCTCGGTGGGGCTCGGGTGCGACTCTCTGCACCCTCGGCAGATCCTCCTGCTGCCCGTGGCGCTGCAGCAGCGCATCCTGGACATCCTGGCGGCCTACGACGACGCCCCTGCATCGATCAGCGGGCAGGTCTCCCTGATGGTGTTCATCCCGAAGGCAGATGGAGGGGTAAGGCTCATTGCGTTGCTGCCGCTGGTCCTGCGGCTGTGGTCGCGCCTCCGCCAGCCTCGCTGCGCCCGCTGGGAGGCTGACCACGACTTCCCCTTTTTCTGGGGACGTGACGGGCGGGACTGTGAGCGGGCTGGGTGGCTGCACAACTGTTTTGCGGGGTTCGCGAAGGCGAACCAGCAGTTCGAGGCCGCGAGCCTCTTCCTGGACATCAGCAAGTTCTACGAGCACGTGCGTCACGATGTTCTCTGGGCGAATGCAGTGCGTTTCGGGTTCAACCTCAGGCTGTTGCGCGGCCTCCTCACCTCCTACCAGGCCCCTAGGATGATCCTCGCGGCGGGCATGGCTTCCCCCGCTTTCGGCACTACGGGTACGGTTTTGGCTGGGTGTGCGTGTGCGACAGCAGTTGCGAAGCTCCCAGTGCTGGGCGCCCTCCTGGCAGCGGGGGCGACGTGCCCTTTGGTCACGCCGAGGAATGTTGTTGACGACATCTCGCTCCAGGCGGTCGGCACGGCCCGACTAGTTAAGCGGCAGATGTTGGTCTCCAGCTGTGAAGTGGTCCGCCTGCTGCGTGAGCAGCACCTCCCACTCAACGAGAGTAAGTCCGTCTTCCTGGCCTCGTCGCCGCAGCTCGCCAAGGAGCTTTCCGAGGAGTGGGCTGCGCAGGGCCTGGCCTTCAAGAGGGGACTGCAGGCGAGGAACCTCGGCACCGACGCCAACATCACTCGTCGAGGCGTGCATGAAGGAGCAGGGCGTGCGGTCGGCGGCCTTCGGCGTGGCCGCAGGCTCGGGGTGCTTCGCTCAGCTGGGGCGGCGACCGAGATGGTCCACCGTGCTGGGCCCACCGCAGCGATGCTGTGGGGGCGTACTGTGACTGGTGTACCTGATAGGGAGCTTCATTCGTGGCGTTTGGCGGCTGTGCGCTCGGCTGGGAAGTTCCCCAAGGGCGCCCCACTCGGGCTGAGGCTCAGAGCGGTGGAGGTCATGCGGTCCATCGACCTCGACCCGAGCCCCGCGCTGCTTCGGGCCGCTGTGCAGATGGCGGCCAGCCTCCTTCAGTCGGGGGAGGTCTCGCAGCGCATGTTCGAGGCGGCCGTGCAGGAGGCGGAGCGGAGGCACGCGGGAGCAGCAGCCCCATGGGCGCACTGCCGTACGCCAGTGGATGCCCTGGCCCTCTCGCTCACCAGGGTGGGCTGGAGGCTCGTCCAAGGCACCTGCCTCGCCACCGACGACGGCCACATCCTGGACCTGCGCATGATGGGGCCGCGCGAGCTGGGCCTGCTGGCAGCGGCAGGGGCGCGGCGTGCTTCGGACAGGTCGGAGCTGGCCCGCCTAGGCCACGGGGCGCTCCCCCCGTTGCCCCTGTTCTGGGAGGCCTTCTCGGAGGTCCTCGGGCCGGGCAGCAAGCTCAGCCACAGGGAGAAGGCGGCGGTGGTGAGTTTCCTTTCCAACGCCCACTGGCCCCAGACCCGTCTGCACTCGGCGGGGGAGAGGGAGCATGCTCGCTGCTGCGCTTGCGACGCACCCCGCGGCAGTCTCTGGCACAGGCTGTTCGAGTGTCCCGTCCTCGCGGGGCCGAGGCGCGACTCTACCTCCGACCGCCTTCGGCGCTGCGCACACCGTGCACGTGGCCGAGGTGAGGAGGCGGGGGAATGCTTTGCGCGCTGCTGGCTCCCTCAGCCCCCGAGGGCCGCACCGAGGTCGGATGCCATGGCCGTCATGTGGCGCAATCGCCCCGCTGACGGTCTCCTCGGGGGGCGTCTCTACCTGGATGGGTCGGCGCTCGACCCCGAACACGCGAGCCTGCGGCGTGCGGGCTGGAGCATCGTGCAGTGCGACTCCGACGGCAACATGGAGTGCGCGGTGTACGGCAGTGTGCGCCAAGACCTCTGCCCTTTCCAGTCGGCCAAGGACGGCGAGGATTTCGCGGTCTGGATGCTGTCCCGCTTCCTGGGCCCGTGTGTGGACGAGATCCTCATCGATTGTGCGTCTACGGTCAGTTGCCTCACGTTGGGCAAGAGGTACGCGACGGCAGCCAACAAGCCCAATGCCCATCTCTGGGAGGGGATCTACGCTTCGCTAGACGTGGACATGCTCAAGGTTACCAAAGTGGCAGCCCACTGCACCGCTCGTGACGTGATGGACGGCAAGATCACGGAGGCGGACCTCCGCGGCAACGGTCATGCCGACCGCTGGGCCAAGGCAGGTGCGGAGCTGCACCGCTCCAGCCCCGTGGCCAGGCGTGAGTTCTTCGGCACGATGGAGGTGGTGAGGGAGCTCTCATGCTGGGTGGCGCAAGCCTCTCTCATCTGGCAGGGGATCGAGGTCAAGGACTGCGAGGGCCTGCCTGAGGGCAGCGAGCGGACGGCTGTTTCCTTCGCCGCGCCCGTGGTGGAGCCTGCCAGCAGCCGCCCGTCCGACTCGGGTTCGGGCGACGGGTGGGCCTCGGCGGCGCGCGCTGGTGGAGTATCCCTCGGTGCGACGGCCTTCGTCGTCGCTGGCCACGTCCTGGCCTTCGCCAGGTGCGGGGAGGGCGCCGCCGAGCAGGAGCTGATCGCTTGCACCCACTGCGGGGCGTACGCGCGGCTGGGCGGGCGCTCAGGCGCGGCGCCCAAGCTCAAGGAGCAATGCCCAGGGTCTGCTGGGCTTCCCAAGGGCAGGCGCGACCAGAAGGCACGCTGGCTGCAGGGGCGGCATCCTGCTGGCACGCCCCACAGCGGCAGCAAGCGGGTCGGCGCGGCAGTGCCCAGCCTGCGCAAGGAGGACGTGGTGCCGATGGACGCCAGGGTGCGCTTCCTGCAGTGGCTGGGGGTCCGCCCCGAGGATGGGGCCCCTGGTGGCGATGCCGCCAGCGCCAGCCGCGGGCCCCCCAGCGGCGCGGCGGCCGCTGGAGAGGCGGCGGGGGAGCCGCTGGTGCCAGGCCCCGCGGGGGCCTCGAGGGAGGCATGGCTGAGCGCCTACGGCCTGGACGAGGCGAGCCTCCTCGAGTGGTCAGCCGCGGCTGAGACGGCGCGCGAGGACAGGCGCAAGAGGCGCCGCCTTGCAGATGATGACGAGGGGTCGTGATGCCGCATCATCTTCCTCTTCCTGTTGTGTCCGCCCCCTCTCGTCACCTTCTTTCTGTGTGTTCGTGAGGCCGCACCTTCATTTTGTTGTGTGTTTCAGTCCTCACGTCGAGGTCAGACATGTTAGCGTTGGCTACGCGTGTGCTGGCCATCACCCTTGAGGTTCGTGGTGTGGCGGCACCGTCATTCTTGTGTGCTCAGCCCTCTCGCCGAGGTCAGGCCCGTTCGGCTTTGCAATGCGTGTGCTGGCCTCACCTCGAGGTTCGTGAGGCCCATCGTCCTTTGTTGAGTTGTGGGCCTCGCGTCTCATTTGCAGCGAGGCAGGCATGTCGGCCGTGCTATGCGTGCCTTTGCCTCCTCTGCTTCTTGATTTCTTTGAAATCTTGCGCTTCGCGCGTCTGGCGCTTCGCGCCCTCCCCTGCGGTGGCTCCTTCGGGGCCCCTTGGGTTGGCCCTAGAGGCCCTGGGGCCAACGTGCTCCGCGGGCCTCGGGCTCCTTTTAGCCTTCATAGGCCCCGCAGCTCACAGCTCACACAGGAGCACGGCAGACCACACCTCGATTTTTTGAGGATGTCTCGAGCGAAATGGCCGTGGTCTGCCGTGCTCCACACGGGAGCACGGCAGACCACCTGCTCATTTTCTGAGGACGTCCCGAGCGAAAACGTCATTTTTAACATAAGAGGTTCTAAAACACCTCTGTCGGCATCTCATTTTTTCGAGGATGTCTCGAGCGAAACGCTCATTTTTCATGCATAACAAAAATTTTTGATATTTTTCAACATCCCGATTTTTTGAGGATGTCTCGAGCGAAACCGTCATTTTTGACATAAGACGTCTTAAACGATAGCCTCCAACACCTCGATTTTTCGAGGATGTCTCGAGCGAAATGGCCATTTTGGGGAATCCGCCAATGAAAACGCCGTGCAGCCCCGCAACCCATAGATATAAAGATATATATATATATATATATATATATATATATACTCAAGGATTCAGCCAGAACGTCCCGCTTGCTTCTCGTACCTCGAAGACGCTTCCCGTCATCCGCCAATGAAAACCCCGTGCATCCCGCAACCCATAGATAAAAGATAAATATAATATATATATATATATTTATAATATATAATATATATATTTACTCAAGGATTCAGCCAGAACGTCCCGCTTGCTTCTCGTACCTCGAGACGCTTCCCGTCATCCGCCAACGAAAACTCCGTGCGGGCCGCGCAACCCAGAGATATAAAGATATATATATATATATATATATATATATATATATATATACTCAAGGATTCAGCCAGAACGTCCCGCTTGCTTCTCGTACCTCGAAGACGCTTCCCGTCATCCGCCAACGAAAAATCCCGTGCAGCGCGGCAACCCATATAGTTAAAGAAAAGATATATATTTACTCAAGGATTCAGCCAAAACGTCCCGCTTGCTTCTCGTACCTCGAAGACGCTTCCCGTCATCCCGTGCAGCGCGGCAACCCATATAGTTAAAGAAAAGATATATTTACTCAAGGATTCAGCCAGAACGTCCCGCTTGCTTCTCGTACCTCGAAGACGCTTCCCGTCATCCGCCGTCCCCCTTCAAGTAAAAACCGGGGGGGAAACCCACTAAAAGAGAACCCTGGGCCCACGCCCTTTCGGGGAAAAAAATCAAAGAACTTCCGAGGGATTAGAAATGAACAATGTGTAGGTGTGCTCGCGCCATGCCTGGCGTCATATCCCTCCCTCCGATCCCTTCCCACTGCGCTTATAGCTTCTCTGTCCACGGCCGCGGGTCAGAGCCGACCTGGAACTCCACAGCGGACTCCTATCGTGCGGCGCGCAAGCCGGAAAGGGGGAACAACAAACTGTGGAGGAGAGAGTGGGACAGCTGCCGCATCCCTCCTACGCCCTTCTCCTCTTTTCTGGTGCCCATTGAACGCCCTCCCTGCGTCTCTGCGGGAGTCGTCGAAACTGTGCGCTCGCTCAGGAGCCGAGACATTCCGCTAAAATGCAGCGATGTTTCGAGGTGGGCGATGGCGCGCATTTCGCCAACTGAAAAGCTCAACAGCAAACATGGGGCTCGAAGTAGCACTTGAAACACATACACACACACACACACACACACACACACACACACACACACACACGCACGCACGCACACACACACACACACCATTTTGTCCCCCGTCGTCCAGATGGGCTGCAACGATCGGATCACGGCGCAGCAGCGCGGCGGAAGCAGGCATGCGGCCGAAAGGCGGCGAGGGGGCGCGCGGGCGGGCACATCACACGCGCGCGCGCGAACGCACACAACCTTTCCAAGACCCCCACGACATGGTTTTTTCATTACGTCGACCCCTGGAAGTCTCGACCCATTCCCCTGGACTGGTTTTTCATCCTGAGTCGTTTTTTGACGGTCCCGAAGGACGGTAAGGGCCCCCAGAGGCCGAAAATAGCAAAAAACCTCCAGTCGTGATTTTTTCTTTACCCGAGGGGGTCTGGGCTGCTCGGCAGCGGGGCTCGCGGCGCCTCCTGCGACCCTCGGGCTGGCGCGGGCGCGGCCGCAGCAGCGCTTCGATAGACCAGATGAGGAGTTGGAGGCCTGGAAATGGGCACCAACACCAACACAGAGGGGGCTGCCTCCACAGGGGGGGGGATGATCCTAGATTTTCAGTGTTGGCGGCAATATGTCGGCCACCTTGGAAGCCAGAATATTACCACCATCACCGAGATCGTGATCTTCTTCCCTCGGTGGAGGCACCGCCGAAATTGGTGTTGGTGTCCACCTCGAGGCCTGCGACGATAGGCAAAAGGAGGAGGACCACCAGGGCGCGCAGGCCGCGCAGCCGCCCGACGCACGCGCACGGCTTCTGTCGGCGGAGACTTGGGCGCCCAAGCCGCGGTCGGAGCAGCCAGCCGAGAAGCGCTTCGGAGCCGAAGTCGGCACGACAGCAAATAGACGAGCGCGTGTTCCACTACTCGCAAAGTCACTGCTCGCGAGTGGCCTGGATCTGCCGCGGGGGATCTATGATACATTACATGAGAGCAGACATGTGTTCTTCTACGTCTGCGAGTAGTATAGTAGGCACTTTGCGAGTAGTGGAACGCGCTCGGTGAGGCAGAGGACGGGCGCGGAGGGGTGGGGAGGAAGTCGCGGGCGGCGGAGCGCACTCGGGCTGTGGAGATCTTGTGCGTGCGTGCCCGGTCGCAGGCTCGCGCGTGTGCCGGAGCACGGGCGAGCGCACGCGGGCGCACGCGCGCTCAGGAGCGCCATCCGCACGTAGCACGGGCCGCTGGCGGCCCACATCGGGCGGCCATGCCCTGCGTGCGAAGCAGCGGGCGAGGAGTGCACGTGCCCGCGGGGGAGGGGCCACGCGCCGCACCCGCGAGGTCTCCCCAGGCCTAGGGGCCGCCCAGACGACGAGGACCTGGACGAGGAAGGGAGGCAGAACAAACAAAAAGAGCGCGCACGGACGGCCACCAGGCAGACGCTCGACGGACCCAGCCAGCGCACGGGGCGCCAACGAGGCGCCATCGGGCGGCCACCAGGCGGCGAAACTTCGGCGGGCCGAACCACCGACCTACGGATGAAAGATGAAAGATCAAGCCCCCGAGTGCAAGCACTGCTTTGGGAACGAATTCTTGACAGCCTATCCAGAGTTGCGAGCGTGCCCCATTTGAGGGCCCCTGTGGCCGATCAGAAACAACCTTAGGGGGCATGTTGGGCCGTCTTGGGGCCATCTTGGGGTGGGCCGTCTTGGAGATTTCTTGGGGCTGTCTGGGGGCGGTCTGGAGGCCCTAATGGGCTGTCTCAGGGCTTCCTGGGAGCCCTCTTGGGGCGTCCTGGGGCCCTCCTCTTAGGCTGTCTTGGGCCGCTCTCGGGCCGCCTTGAGCACCTCTTGGGGCCCTCTTGGAAGCCTTTTCGGCCATCTCGGACGATCTCATTGTGGGTCTCTTGTGCCGTCTTGAAGGCTCTGAAGACACAGAGATGGCGAACATGTCAGAACCGTGCGAAAACCTTAACAAAAACCAAAGTGCATTGCCTCTTGGCGGCCGCTGGGTCTTCTGTCTTCTTCGGGCCCCCTTGTGCCACCTTAGGAGCCCGTTAGTCTTACGGCAGAATTGGAACCATCTCTGGTCGTCTTTGGCCCGTGCTAGCCGTCTTGATCCTTTCGGGGCGTCCAAGAGCTTCTTTGGGTCGTCTTAGGATTGCCAGGAACTCTCGACAACTTCTGTAGATGTTGTTCGTCGCGGCTCGTTTCTCGGATGGTTTTGGGGCCAAGGAACGGATCCCCAGAGGCCCCGAACTTGGAATCGTTTGCCCTCGTACTCTCGTTCTTTCAAAACACCAGGGGGTCTAGGAAGGACTTCCCCTTCAACCTCCCCCCGGATTTCCAAGCGAGTCCCGCCGTGGTGACGAGGAGCGGAGGAGGAGGAGGAGGAGAAGGAGGAGGGAGGAGGAGGTGGTCTCCGGTGGCTTGCGGAGGGCCAACGCAGAGGCTTCCAGAGGCCCGAAAGCGAGGACGAGCACGAGGACCCGCTGTAATTAGGAAGGCGCCGGCTGCACAGCTGCACCGACCCTGGCCAGGCCCCTCCCTGCCCCAGAGTCGGTGTGTTCGCCGCCCTGACTTGGCCAGGAAGGCAAATGCGGCAGGTTCGTGTGGTGCCGACTTCGGCGTCAATTTCTGACACCGCGGGTACCGTTCCACCTTGGACGATCGGCCGTTTCTGAAGCGTCAGATCGTCCAACACTGACCGGGTCTGGGTCGCCGGCGGCGTTCAAAGCTGAACGCCAGCGGCGGGGTCGCCGCCAGCCGACACGACGCGAACCTACCATGCACCGATCGCGGGTCTGGGATCGGCCTGGCCAGAGTCGGTGCAGGTGTGCAGTTGGCGTCCCACGCCTGCCCTCCCTCAGCCCTCCCCTCCCCTCCCGCCCTCCCCTCCCCTGCGCCGCCGCCTGCCCCTCCCCTCCCCTCCCCTCCCAGGCGCTGGGCGCGGCCGCCCCCCGC